AGGAGCAAGGAGGAACTATGTATGAGGAGCAAGGAATTTTTGAGGGTATAGAGCTAATGACTGTAGTTTTGGGTGTGTTGATGAGACTTCTAGTTGGATGTATCCAAATTTGGAATTGAGGAGAGATCTAAACTTGGAAATTGTCATAACCTAGATGAAGGGATTTGAAGCAGACCCTGTCATTGCCCCACCAATACTCCCTGGCCCACCCAGAAGTTGCTCACATGTGGTTGCCATTCAGACCTGTGGTTTTCTGCGTCTCTCTGCCTGAGACATTCTCTGGTTTGGGCACTGCCTGGCACCTGCACAGAAGAGACAAAATGTTCTGGGAGGTAACCCCTCAGAAACAACCCTCAGTCATTGAGAGAGGGACACTGTTAGATAAATACCCATTTCCTGGCCCCTTGGGGAGCTCATCTGTGGGCATTCCATGCCATTGTTCCTTAAAGCTGAGCCCAACCTTTTCCCCTGGAGAGATTGTTAAAACTCAGATTCCCAGCCCTAATCCAGAGACTCTGAGTTATTAGACCTGGTCAGGAGGGAAGTAAGATTCGCATTTCTATGCACATCAAAACCACAGTGAAATAACATCTCACCCTAGTGAGAATGACTATTAAAAAGACAAAAAATAACAGATGCTGGTGAGAATGTAAAGAAAAGAGAACTCTTATACACTGTTGGCGGGAATGCAAATTAGTACAGCCACTATGGAAAACAGTATGAAGATTTCTCAAAAAACTAAAAATGGATCTGCCATTCGATCCAGCAATCCCACTACTGGGTATTTATCCAGAGGCAAAGAAATCTGTGCATCAGAGAGATACCTGCACTCACATGTTTATCCAAGCACTATTCACAAGAGCAAAGACATCAAATCAACCTAAGAGTCCATCAATGGATCAATGGACAAAGAACATTCAGTATATATACACAATAGAATACCTTTCAGCCAAAGAAATAAAAATAAAAGAATGAAATCTTGTTATTTGCTGCAACATGGATAGAACTGGAGGTCATTACATTAAGTGAAATAAACCAGGTACAGAAAGATAAATACCACATGCTCTCACTCATATGTATGGGCTAACAAGATTTATCTCATGGAGATAGAGAATAAAATGATAGATACCAGAGGCTAGAAGGGTGTGAGTGTGGGAGGAGAAAATGAAGAGATGTTGGTGAATGGATACTAACACATAGTTGGATAGAAGGAAAAAGTGCTAATTATCAATGCTAGTCTAGGGTGATAGCCTAGTATTTTCAAGTCCTCTAGACATTTCAAGTCCTCTCCTCTGGCTATGTTGAAATATATAATATATTTAAATATTGTGTATTTCAATATACAATATATATTTAAATGTTGTATATTTCAATATACAATATATATATTTAAATATATTGTATATTCATCATAGCCAGAGGAGAGGACTTATGTTCCCAACACAAAGATATTCAAAGTGATGGATACCCCAAAAATCATGACTTGATCATTACACATTACGTGCATGTAACAAATACATGTATCCCATAAACATGTAAAATATTGTGTATCAAGAAAAGAATTATTTTAAAGATTTGCATTTCTAACAAGCTCTGTGTTGCTGTACCTCTCAACACGAACCCAAGGGTCGTTTCCAGTTTGCAGGAAGGTAACCCCTGTTTAACACTCACTTTATTGACTTTCTGTCTTCCCTGTCTCCCCTCTCTCTCATCAGCTTATTGGGAACGTACTCCAAATGAGCTACAGGAACCCAGATCCTTGTCTGAGGTCTTCTTTGGGCAAATCCTAATTATGATAGCCACTGAGGCCCGTGTATAATAAGGTGATACTTGGGAAAACTCTCTCAGAATTGTCATCCCAATTGGGACACATGGAATACATGAGGGACATTCAAGGTAACACAGCAGCTTGGGAGTTGCGCCTGATTCCTGCCCCCTTAGAAATATTTCTGTCACAGAGACACTGTAGCTAAAGGAGGGAGGTGGGATCATGGGGAGGGGGAAGAGTTTTCAAATGATGGAAATAAAAACAACAGTGAACCAGAATGTTTACAAAACAATAACATTTCTTCATCTCTATTTTAAATATGGAAAATGAGTCTCAAGGATATAAAAAAAAGATGTTTGGTTTCACTTAACCCATCGATACGGTTTGGCTGTGTCCCCACCCAAATCTCATATTGAATTGTAGCTCCCATAATTTCCACGTGTTGTGGGAGGGACTTGGTAGGAGATAATTGAATCATGGGGCAGTTTCCCCCATACTGTTTTCATGGTAGTCAATAAGTCTCATGAGAGCTCATCGTTTTATAAGGGGTTTCCCCTTTCACTTGGTTCCTACCCTGCTCTTCCCTGCCACCACATAAGTAAGACATGCCTTCCACCTTTCACCATGATTGTGAAACCTCCATAGCCAAGTGGAACTGTGAACCCACTAAACTTCTTTTTCTTTATAAACTATGCAGTCTCAGGTATGTCTTTATCAATAGCGTGAAAATGGACTAACACACCTACTCATCACACAACTGGAAATGGCTTTAGTTTGTCTGTCTTTGGAGTAACCTGTCCATTCCATAATATTTCTTAATAGTGTTTGTAGTCACAAATATTCATCTTTCCATGGCTACCATGCTAGATTAAATTCTTCCACAGGGTTTCTTTCCACCGTTTCATTCCAGCCCTTTCTCAACATCACCTTTCTGAGTGCAAAGATCCCAGGAAGCGGCAATTGCAATCAAAGCGTGTGGATGGGTCTGCCATCAGATGTCTCTCTCTGACCTGAGACAGGAAGCTGAGGGCACTGGGCACCTGGCATAGGGCAGAGGAAGGGCTCAGAAAGTGGACAAGACAGACAGTCATGAAAGACGTGGTGCCACTGGAGTTGTACCTATATGGGAACTGCAATAATGACACCCACGTCTTGGTTCCCTCTTTTGTTGTTTGATGTCTTAGTGAAGTTGGGTCAGTGCAATGCCAGCAGCCTTCTCCAGAGGTCAGGGGGCCTGCCAGGATGGGAATAGAGAGTGAGCATTAGGTTCAGGCAAAGCCATACAGTGGGCTGGGCTGTGACCTGCACATCCGTCTGTGGCTCTGGTGACAGCAGTGGTTCGTGTGCAAATGGGAATGTTGCAATCCTCACATCTTGCAGAAGACTCTGAATCCATCCTCTACTTGTTCCCCACACTGACTCAGGCTAGAAGGAGCTTGTCACCAAGACATGGGAAGATCGGGCAAGAGAGGAATCACGAAGATACAAGCAAAAGCAGCCAAAATTCAATCACAGCAGAAAATGAACTACTAAACTCTTAAGAAAGGCTAGATCCCAGTGTGTGCTCATTATCTCTGGAAGAATTTCTCTCTTCCCTAGTTGAGAATGCCCCGCCTCCCTGAGTCTCTCGTACAATTAACTTTATTGAAGAGGCAATGGAGTGAGGGAAGAAGTGATGGGGAGGACAGAGAGGCAAGACTGTAAGCTGAATAAATGTGTGATGCCACCGATACAAGGTGGAAACGGTGGCTCTGTGATGGATGGCAAGGTGACTTAGCAAGCCCAGAAGGCACCAGGCCGGCTTCATCCAGCAACAATCAAACTGGTATCTGCACACACACACACACACACACACACAAAAGTTGGAAAGAAAATCAGGACTTTATCCAAACAAATCTATCAAGTATCAAGTTTGGCAAGAATAAAAATGCACCTAGTATATCACTGACTTTTGTACATCTGAACTCCAAACCTAACCAGCTGGAATATCCTATTTTAAGTAGCATCCCATTCAACCTTCCAAAAGCAAGGCACGTAGTCTTCGCAGGATGGAAGTCAGTGCCTTAAACAGTATCTTCTTCTCTGGATGCAAATGAGTGAAGTACTGATCTACTCCATGGAGGAAAAAAACTCTGAACTAAGCCCCAAAAGCCAGAATCATGAAAAATCAGTGTGATGGTTTCACCATCCAAAGGGTTATTGGCAAGTTAGTGGTCTATGTCCTGTGACAACATCAGTTCTGCTTTACAGAGAATGTGTCAGTCCTACAATCCTCAGAGCTAGGAAATACTGGGTGGTTATAGACCATCAGACCGCACGTGAGCTTGGGGAGTGGACTTGGTTTCTGTCCAGGTTTTGGAGTTCATAATGATTGATGGTTGCCAATATGGGCTCAGACAGACCTGAGTCGGATTCTACGCTGGGGCTCGGAGGCTGTCGGTAACTTGCTCAGTCCCCTCCTCTCCCACTCTGCCCTGGTTTGCAGGACTTGGTTACAGGCAGATGATAACAGCTGCAGACCTCTTGGCTCAGTGTCTCTTCCCTCTTAGGTGCTCCGTAGCTAAGTAGATACTGGTGCTATTTTCCTCGAAATTTTCCTTACCATGTCATCATTAGCACAGGTCTCTCCAAAGAGCAATTTATGTTAAAGAATAATTTTGAGGCATTCAATTTGATTCTAATAGTCATAGCTGGGCTGTGTCTAGTTTGTGATTTTCAAAAAAAAACAAAACAGAAACACATCATTTAAAACGAGTTAAGCTGAAATGAACCAATGAGTTAAGCTAAGCTGGATAAATTCTGCACGTCACAGAAATGACAGGAGGGAACCAAGCTGAGATAGGTTAGGCATGAGGTTAGAGACTTGAAAAGAAAGGGGAGTGAAGGAGGGGGTTCTGGTTTGGGAGAGAAGAAGGCTGTTTTCAATGTAGCCAAAAGGCAACAAGGAAATAAGACCATCTCCCTACTGTGCTCCAGGCCATCTTCCTCTGACCGTCAGCCCTGCTTGGGCTGGGTGGGCAGGATGAGGGTCCTCTACTCATCCATGGAGCCACTGCGGTCTCTCCAGGGGGGCTCTTCTACACCACCCAGCTTCTCCTAAAACTACCACTTGAGACAAAAGGAAAACATGATTTTCATCCAGATGAATGTGGTATGTGTGTGTTGTCTTAACTGTTGCTGAATGTCACATCAGAAATTAGAAGCCCTAAAAATTAATTTTAACCAAACATACTTTATTCTTTCTCACTGTGTTCATCTTTTCTGTCTGATTCTGCTCTCACTTCCTGAACAAGAGGAGATATCTTAGATCCTTCAGTTTTCAAAAGTAAAAGACCATGGTCAGAAGCATGCCCTTCTCCTTTGGTTCTTAGCATTCTGGAATGCACCTGTGGTAAAATATGAAGAAATAAAACAAATATAAATTATGCATTTTCCAACTTAATTTAAAATGCATTATGCTCTGCTTTGTTCTCCGGAATTAGTCTTATTAAGGGGACAGATCTGTATGGATTAATTTTGAGTCAGTTTTTTCACTTCTTTGTAATTCAGTGGCAAGGATTTTTGTCCCCAGGCATCAAATTAAATTTTTTTTTTTTTTACTGTAAGTAACACATACAAAATATAGACCTCTTTGTGTTATTTCTTTGTTTACCTGGCATAATATTCTCATATTATGTTCCCATCAAATCTTAAATCTTCTCCCTTTAAAGAACAAAACTTTCCCCACAATTTTTAAAGCAAGGTAACCCTTGTCACAATATTGGAGTTCAACACAATAATAGTATTATTCTCTGGCTGGTATTCATTTCTGTTAGAGGGTCTTCATGGCCTCCCTCCAACCCAAACTCAAGGCGACCAGCCCCCAAGCCCCTGCCTCCCCAATAATTTTGGCAACATGTGAACTGATATTTTATGGCTATTTAAAATAGGTACCAAATCATCATTCTTAAGTATTGTTTTAGTACAGTAATTCTTTGTTCTGCTTCGACATTTTAAATCTTTATATTTTCCCCCCTACATGGAGCAAGAAAATCGTCTGCATTCTTAATTAGTCTTCTTTAAACAAAATATCCTTTCATATGCACTAATAAAGACTAAGGAGCCTTCCCTTCTTGTTTAAATAACTGCTTGCTGTAGTATAAAATTGTAAGAGACACGATGCAGATCAAGTTGCGGGCTTGAAGTGGGGAAGAGGAACAAGCCGTGCCATAATAAGCAGATTTTAATGATTTACTATAAATCAGCATTTTTGCCCTGTCAGTGAGATTGAAGAGGCAGACAGCTCCTCACATGTCTGCCGAGCAAATGCCTTCCTGATGAATCATGTGCACTGAATCACTGATCACAACATTCAAACGGCACATCCAAATAATGAGGGAAACATATACACAGGCTCCCGATGGCTGCTCCAAGGCAGCAGGAATATATGTTTTTCTGTTGTGTGGTCGTTAAACCCCTCGCATTGATCCTCCGAGGACTGCAAGGTGGGTAATAGAAGTGTATATTACCCGGTTAACCGCTGATGCCCGAAACACAGACTGATCTCCATAAATGCTCTCCCCAACCCCCTAGACTTTTGATGAGAATCTAATCTGGTCTTGAGGAGAAGGGAGGAAAGCAAAAGAAAAAAATAAATAAATAAATAAAAGACAGGCTGTAATAATGAACCTGAACATAAAGAATGTGGCTGTAAAACCCAATAGAAATCGGAGCTAATTTCTGGGAGCTGCTTATTCTAATGCCCCCACCCGCCCCCCCCAGCCTCTGCCCCCGCGGTTTGCTTCCTCTGCCAATGCCTAATATTCCCCAGTGGTAGTGCTTCCGGTGGGCGGGATCATCCTGGGGAGAGGAGAGTCACTCTTCTTGCTGGAAGGACGCATTTGGAAACTGAGTATGGGGGACCCGCAACAGGACAGTGGTCCAGACAGCCAGGCCCCTGGAGCAGCCTCTGAGGCCATGGAGATGGACTTGAACTTGGAGATGTTCAGGAAGCCTTTCCAGCAAACCAGAGGCTTTCCCTGATGGCAGCCTTCAGGGCCTCACTCCTTTCCACCACCACAGCCCAACCTCGGCAGCTTTGTCTAGTGCTGCTTGCGTCTTGCTGTCTTTGCAACACTCATCTTCATGGACTGTGGCTTCCTCAGTTGCAATATCATTGTTTTAACTTTTTTGGAAACCCTTAAAATATCTTGCACATAGTACAGGCTTTGTCATCATCCACCCACCTCCATGAGTAATGAATGAATGAATGACAGCCACAGCGGCCAGGTATTGGCCAGTCACACTTAGCTGGCCCTCTAGGACACCTCACTCTCAGAGAAAACGAGGACGTCTTTGAGCCTAGGATGATCAGTTTCTCTTTGCCAGATCCTAACCTCATTCCCTCTGGTATCTGAAGCCCTGCTTTGCGGCTGGCTGGGAATCTACCAACCCTGGTCCCACCCATGGACTTACCTGGCTGTTCGACTGCTGTGGGGAAGATCTCCAAGGGAAGTCTCAACTCAAGCTGGAGAGGAAAAGAGGGCAGCCTCCAACACCAGAGCATTTCCAACTGCATTCCTGTATGCACCCCACATTCCTGGAACACAGATGGGGCCCTGCAGCCCCACACTCACTGCCTCTGGCTGGAATGCCCACTTCTCCCCTATTTAAATCTATGAATTGTTAAAAATAGAGCTCCCCTTTCTCCCTGCAGCCCTGTCTCCTCTAGTGCAACCAAAGTAATCTCTCCCTCCTCTAAGCCCCCATCATGCTTCAAATATTTCCTTTGTTCATTCATTCATTCAATTGATTAATTAATGCTTAGTAGAATATACCCTGTGTCACACCAAGAGATGCCTGGTCTCTTCTGGTAATGGTGAAAAGAAGATTGTCACCCTGTGGGGTGGCAGAGGCTGCATCGTCCATTCTTCAGAGTGTATCGAGCATTCGCTGTCTGCTAGGCACTGTTCTGGGCACGGCGGTACCCCAGTTGGGTCTGCACAGGTCCTTTCCAGGAGGCAACCAATCTGTGCTACGTTTGTCCTCAGTCAGAATCCTGCACTTAGAAGGGCCTCTCCCTGGTTTAATGCTCTAATGTCACCCTCGTGAAATTCATAACAATTTTTGAACAAGAGGGCCTGCATTTTCATTTTGTGAAACACTGTAACAGTCCTAGTTTCTACTTTGAAGGACTTGAATTCAGGGTGGGGGGTGGGAGCAAGATGAAAATAAACAAGTAAATGAATGAACAAGACATTTAAGATGCCTCTGTGTGATGGAACAAAGAGTTCAAGGAGGGCTACTTCACATGGGGAAATCAAGGCAGGCTGGAGTGAGGAGGAATTCCAACCATAAGCAGCATGAGATCAACCAGTTAATCCCGTGAACAAAATGAGCTATTCAACTCCGTGGGGTGCCTCGGTGACTGCTCAGCCTTTTATTCTGTTCCAGATGCTTGGACTGGTGGGCGCCTTCCTTGTCTCACCCTAGAGGGAGATTGTCAGGAGGTACAGGCCCCTGTGGACTCCTCTGCCAGCCAGACAGTCCAGACCATTAACTCCACTAGGAACAAGGAGAAACACCCCGGTGTGTTCACTCTGGAACCCTCTGGAACCCTCTGGAACAGAAACCTCACTTTCCTCCTCCTCCCCTGGCAGCCTCAGCCTCTAAGCTTCCTGGGTCTTCTCTGTTCCTCTGTCCACCTGACTTTGCCCAGTAATCTTCCGTAGGAGATGCATGGTCCTACAGACAGCCTGAGAGGCTCATGCCCAGGAGGAGCTCCGCCTCTGGGCCTAAGGTTTGGGGAAACAGCCCAGACCATCCAATGCTTGTGAATTTCCTCTTCCCCTCGGGTCTCCAGCCCCAGGCTCCATGTGGTATCTCAGAGCGCTCAGATGGGCTTGCATCACAGCCTTTCATGGCAGCATTCCTGGGCCGGGTAAGTCAGGTGTAAATTCTTTTACACAGGACTCGTGCTTCCTTTAGGTCTCTGGAGAGGATAGGAGTGTGGGGACTGGGGCCAGGGGTGTGCCCTCCCACAATGGCCACTCCCTGTCCTGTTCGGGTACCTCTCTTCCTGCCATCCGAGCCTCAGTCCAGCTGTCCCATGGAGAAGAGAGAGAACCAAACAACCCGTCATCTCACCCGGTGAGGAGGACTTGAGGTGACAAATTAGTGTGGCACCAAGCACAGAGGCTGGCACAGGAGACCCTTGTCACCTCCTCCAGGCTGTCTTCCATCAATAACAGTCTCCATCGTGGTGCCTGGTACTCCCACGGCAGTCATTGTTTCTCTGCTGTGGCAAACTCCTGATGAAATTCAACAGTTGGGACAAATGGGCTGGAAAGAATGCTCTCTGAGGGCAGAGACCTTAGGTGCCATAATGCTTACCTGGACGTGATACCCAGCAGGTGTGCAGGGAAAGGTCTGAGGAAGGGGATGGTGTGGCTCGCGTAGCGGCAGCACACAGGCTGTGTGGGCAGCGCCCAGGAAGGAGGTGTGTCAGTACGAGGGTTGACACCAAGTGCTGTGCAGTTGAAAGCCACAATGTAATTATCCACCCAGGAAAAAAGGGTCCCCTCCCACGGGACTGCCATCCACGAGAGGAGATGGAAAATAAACTCGTTCGAGGTCAATTTAAAGGTTAAATGGAGGTCAACGGGGCGGGGGGAACTGAGACCCTCCTTGTCGATGGGAGCAGTCTTGTCCACTCACTTAGGACTTTAACCTTTGGCTCTGACATTCATCTGAAAAAAAAAAAGCGTGAAGCAGATAATTGGGTATTAGTAGACATACCATTTTAGCCATCTTAGAAAATAAAAATTAAGAGTGATCGTGGATCCAGTGGCAGTTACTTTAGAAAGATAGTAACGTGTAATTCCCAGTTTCTCAGACTGTAACTTCTGCACTTACCACTAATTTCTCCACTGCTCCAATTGCAGTGTATACATTTAGTTTAGAATTTATCATCACCGTCTGTGTATATTACGGCAGCAGCATAATCCATCCTCATGAAGCTAATGCTCAGCATTAGGAAAATGGACTCCGTATGGAGCCTGCCAGGCTCTGGCCTCAACGTAGACCGGGTTGCAGGTTCCTGGGCCCCCACCCCTCCCACCCCGGAGTATATGTGGCATTATGTTTTGTGCATTCCCTCCAAACTGCACGGTCTGATTTCTGCAAGTTGCCGGTGTCCATTGTCTGTGGATGTAAAAATCAATGACCTACATAAGATTTTGATTTTGCACTGGGAATTGAGAGAGAGAGAGAGAGAAAGAAACAGAGAGAGAGAGAGAGAGAGATGAGATGAGATGCAAATGGAAAATAATGAAACAGTCATGTTAAGAAATATATTAGCATGTTGGACTCAAAAAATATATTTCCAAGAGGA